ACAGAATATTTCTTTTATATATATATATATATATATATATATATATATATATATATATATATATATATATATATATATATAAAGAGAGAGAAAGAACCTCTTTACACTCAGGAAAAGGGTGTAGAAAAATGAAAATAATAATTAAAAAATTATTTCCGGTTTTTATTTCCTTGATAAGCAAATGCAAATATCGTGATGTTTGTATGTGGAAATTTATAACCTTACTTTTTTTATATATAGAATTTTAATCTGACGCAAAAAATTAAATGTTAAATATATTTATTACATTTAAATTTATTTGGATTTTTTCTTGCTGGTATTTTCCACTGCAATCATAGGACTTCTTTAACTTAATTAACAAGAAACAACTTCAGGCCTGATCGAGTACATTGCTCTTTTCTATGTTGACAAGAGTCTTTCTTTAAAAAAATTGTTTAAAAAATGATGCTAGGAGGCCCACGTTCCCCTTCCCCTTATCTGGCATTGTATTAGGAGGCAATTTAGACGATCTATATCCACAGGCCCTTAGATCGCTTAAAAAAAATTAAGGTGTTAAAAAAAAAGAAAGGTATGGAACTCCTTACATAAGATACCCACATTCGCCAATAAAATACTTTTAAATCAAATGATCTAAAACTTTACTTTCTATTTATAACTATTCACATATAAACAGTCTACGTTACTACCAAAGTTCTTAATGAAATTCCGTATACTTCCCGAGACATGCTGAAATCATATCCCAAAACAAGATGTGCTTGTGAAACACTGTGCCATCCGTCTGTAAACAATTTTTCAAAACGCTACTCCTTCTACAGTTTTGGTCTGATTTCAATATAACTTGGCACACAAGTAGACTACACTAAGATACATAATTCTGTGTATCGGTTTTTGATTTAAATGAACGGTGTTGCCATGGTTACTTAAAATAGAAATTTCTGTGAAAAACTTCAAAACGCTACTCCTCCTACAGTTTTGATCTGATTTCATTATAACTTGGCACATAAATAGACTATACTAAGATACCTAATTCTGTGTACCGGTTTTTGATTTCAATGAACGGTGTTGCCATGGTTACTAAAAAATAGAAATTTCTGTGAATACATTCAAAAGGCTACTCCTCCTACAGTTTTGATCTATTTTCAATGTAACTTGGCAAACATGTTGACTACACTAAGATACATAATTCTGTGTATCGGTTTTTGATTTCGATGAACGGTGTTGCCATGGTTACTAAAAATAGAAATTTCCTTGAAATACGTTCAAAATGCTACTCCTCCTACATTTTTAATCTCATTTCATTATAACTAAGCATACAAGTAGACTACACAAAGATACATAATTCTGTGTATCGGTATTTGATTTTGATGAACGGTGTTGCCATGTTTACTAAAAATAGAAATTTCCTTGAAATACATTCAAAATGCTACTCCTCCTACATTTTTGATCTCATTTCATTATAACTTGGCACACAAGTAGACTACACAAAGATACATAATTATATGTATCGCTTTTTGATTTTGATGAACGGTGTTGCCATGGTTACTAAAACTAGAAATTTCCTTGAAATACTTTCAAAATGACTACTCCTACAGTTTTGGTTTGATTTTAGTATAACTTGACACACAAGTAGACTACACTAAGATACATAATTCTCTATACCAGTTTTGGATTTTGATGAGCGGTTTTGCCATAGTGACTAAAAATAGAATTTTTTTTAAAAACTTTCAAAATGTACTCCTCCTACATGTTTTGTCTGATTTCAGCATAACTTGGCATACAAGTAGATTACACTAAGATACATAATTATCATTATTGCTTTTTGATTTTGTTGAATGATGTTGCCATGGTTACTTAAATCGAAATTTCTGTAAAATTATTTTAAAAGACTACTCCTCCTACAGTTTTATTCTGATTGCAATAAATCTTGCCACAAAAACAGACTAAACCATGGATCATTATTCTATTTATTGCTGTTGCAAAGTTTCAAGTCCAAGTGCTACTTTTATCTTCCTTTATAAGTACAACCAGTAGAGCTACAGTCTCATCAGAGACTTCTGGTTTAAAATCGGATTTAAGCGATCCAAAGGCCTGTCTCATATCGCGAAAAACTAGATCAGAATACTACTCATTATCTCCCGCTTAGGCTTTCAAATTTTAATAATATAAACATGTTTCAGAAGATTCTTTCACCAACATTACTTAACGAAATCAAATGTTCGAAAAGAGCTTCATATATCATAACTAGGCGCATGCTCCTGAATTAATCTAGAGGCATCACGAGAGGAGCAACAATTCCTGGAAATAAATTGTACTGCGGAATACCGTTGATCATTTCAAAATACAAAGTTAAAATGTTATTCTCAATAACTGTGTATTTATCTTATAAAGCCCCGTTCACATGCGCTGGGTGCAAATTTTGCACGCATGCAAAATCTGCACCCGGGTGTAAATATGAGCATGTGAACGCATTTGCATATATGCGAAAGTAAATATACACATGTGCAAATATACACCCGGGTGTAAATTTGCATCTACTTAGATCAGGTGCAAATTTGCATATGTGTAAATGTACTCCTAGTGTATTTTTCGACATGTGAACGCACAGCAAATTTTACAGACAATAATATGTAATAGCAACTTGCTTTTGGACCTTTAGTGGCTGGCGAACACATTTTTCCTTAGGGAGCTAAGTAATTGTCCAGATCATAATAATTACAAAGCATTTCGAATGCGTATCTTCGATTCCCATTCGAAAGTCCTCAATCCATTGAGAGTCGTCAAACCTTTGAAACACAATTTTCTCGTACCAGTCTGTAGACCTTTCCCTAGCCCATAATTGATCCCTCACACGACCTAGCCCAGCACAAAAACCTAAAGCTACACAGTAGCGGAATATCCTCCTTCTTCTGAACCTAAAATAATTTGCCATCTTTTTTGTTAAACTTCATGAACCATTGCCATTTGATCTAATTTGTTAAGTTCCCTGTGAACCCTTAGCAAATATACTTTTACATCTGGGTGCAGAATTTGCGCATGTAAATGGGGCTTTAAAAAGATAATATACAATTATGGACTCTTTCGGTGGTGAAAATGGTTTGTTATTCACCAGAAAAATATCAATATTGACCCAGACAAATAGCAACAACAAAGATGTTTTCTTTAATGTATTATACGTACAATACATGTATATACTTATCAACTTTTAGATCTCTTGAATTCAACCCAGGCAAAAAAAGGTTTACGTTGTTATAAAGATATACGTATCTGATAAAAATCTAATGCATAAAATCATACTATGGCGAAGCCGCCAAAGGAAATAGTTTCCTGCCGAGGGGAACCATAATTTGCTATTTCGGTCATACCCATTCCATATCTGTATAAATATCCTTAAAATGTATTAATTAATCTTTAATACAATGAATTGCTAGTTACAGCGAATGCTCTACCAAACCCCTATCTTTACTCCTTACTAAAATGTAAACTACTGTATATAGGAGAAACTTCAGACACACTGTGCTACAGCATACTCTAGGGGCGTACTCGATTGGCAGTTCCTCCAGGGAGAATTAACGGAATTCCAAACGAGCGGATCGGAATCGCTGTTCTGGTACTGTCGGAACAGTTCCCGCCAGATAGGTGGTGCAGACGGAATCAAAATGGCGGAAAATCATCAAACGGTATATCGCATACACTCTTGCTCCCGTTGCAATATGACATTCCCTTCGATGGAAAAGTTCAACGGACATAAATGTGCACAAAGAGGTAAAATATTTCTCAGATAACAGATATGGAATGCATTTGATTGAAAATTAAGAATTTATAATGCAGAAAAAACATTCATTAGACTGTTCATGTAGACAAAAAACCGGATAAGCATAAATGCGCAAAATTTATTTTTGTTGACCGAAATAAGGAAAGTAAGTAAAAATTGTACCGTAATACAAGGTTAATATTAATGATACATATGTATATACTGTGGGCTAAATTCAGAAGTAGTCAATTTGGGGATTCAGTCCATTTTAACTGTTTTTCCCCACCTTCGACCAGCTGGCCAGTAAGGATTTCAACAGTTCAAGGCATCTCTGAAACTCCCAGCATGCCCCCTCCCCGTTCTGAAATTTCTGGATCCATCATTGGTAGTTGATGTATTAACAGTACAATATACACATGCACATGAATTAAATAAATTATATAAAATTATCAATATTTATGTAGTGTAATATGTTAATCTGTTGCTTGTTGCTGCAGGTGCCTTTCCTGATATGACAATTGTTGGGACAGAGTCCTCGGATGAAGTGAACAAAACGTCTCATGAAGAGGAGGACTCTTGTTCAATGTGAAGAGTGCCAATTGTTCTTTTCGGACATGGGCATTTTTACCAAGCATCCATGCTGTAGAAATGGTAAGTATGACTGAAAATGACTTTTTAATATGATTTTTTTTTATGCAAGGTTCTTGGTTAAAATTAATTGTAACTGTGATAGGCTTTCCTTTAAATGTTTTCAAGTTTTGACCATTTATATTAAAAAGTCAATGGACAGAAAGTTTTCAAAGACAATGAAAAAAAAACATAGTAAAGGCATTTTTCTGTTAGGGGGTTTATTTCCTTATCTAATTGTTAAATATCAGACTACTGATTAAAATAAAATTGAAGTCAAAAGATCCGTAATGTTTTTGACAAGGAGATATCCAAATTTACCTTTTTATACAGTTCCTTAGCATAGTCATACTTGTACCTTTAAGATCATTATGATCATTAATGTAGGACCTGTCACATCTGAAATCACTGATGTAGAGGGAGAAACCGATGACTTACAAGATATACCTGCCACTACAGAAAATGGAGAGGGGGTGGGTTTTGGTCAAAATCCCCAACACTCTTGCTACTAAATGAGTATAAGAACCATAAAAATGCCCTAGAAACTGGTAGACTGAGAAAAGTAGCTCTGTGGTCAAAAATCTCAGGGAAGCTGAGAGAACAATGTTATAGATACTCGGAGATGCAAGCGAGTGGCCGGTGGAGGACCCTTGTTCGCCTGTACAAAAAGACCAAGGACCATAATGGCAAGTCTGGTGTGTAGAGGAAATGTGGGAATTGTTAAATTTTATCATCAATTATCATCGAGAAATGCATTTTTTCATTAATAGCACAAAATAGTATGTGTATTTATTTTTCAGGAAATGACAAGAAAGACTTTCCATTCTTCTCTGAAATGGAGGATATCCTTGGCAAAGACCATGCAGTTACGCCAACATGTCTTCTGTCTAGCGCGTCTACATCAACAGGTAAACCTTCTGAGGAAATCCAACCCACTCCTAGTAAAAGAAAGCATGAATCAGATTCAGATGGAGAGAATAGTTCAGCTTCATCATCATGTACAAGTCAAAAGAAAAAGCGACGAACACAGTCATCAGAAGTTATTATTGAGTTTTTAAGCACATGTGAGCAGAAACAAGAGGAGAGATACAAGAAAGAAATGGAGCAGAGAGAAAAAATGCACACTGACAGAATGGCAATGTTTAAAGCCCTTATTGAAACAATGAAAAAGTACATAACTATATAGTTCATTTTTTCATTCTTACGTCTCCTGACCAAATTAAAAAAGTGTCACAAAAATTTTCCCTGTGCTTAAAACTAGTGCTTGTTGATGCTAGACTTTTATGTATATCTCAACATTATTTATCTCTTTAAATTGTAAATTCTTCTTTTTTCTTGTATTTACAGATGACTTGGAGGTGCCATTTGGAGAGTGTACAATTTGTTTGGAGAAACCAATGGATTGTGTTATCTTGGATTGAGGTCATCTGTACTGCTGCTCTGAATGTGCCAATCAAATAAAGGAATGTTCCATCTGTAGAGGAAAACTGTCAAAAGTTGTCAAAATTTTTAAAGCATAGATATGCACCAAGAGAAACATTTGATTTGTAAACCATTTTTTTATAATTCAAATGAAACTGTGTTCTTAAACTAAGCCATACCAAGGCATTGAAATTTTATGTTAGAATTACTAGCATATTTGAATTTTTATACACCCATCTTACTATATGATGCTGTCTACATTTTGATTTGATTTGGGATAGGCTTTAAAAGTTGATAATATGTTTGTGACATTTATTCTTTTTTTAAGATTGTGCAAGTATGATTGTACATTATTCATAGGAAACTTGCCTTCATGTGAATGCTAATGTATGACAGGTGTACTTTTGTGTACATATTGTTCCTGATTCTAGTCAAATAGACTCAAATAGGTCTGAATTCTTGTCGTTTTATTTAACTCATTAAGTGAAGATATCACATTATTTGACAAGATTGCAATTTGTATCAATCAGTGTTGCTCTTAAGGCTGGGAGCCACTCCATGGATTTTTTGTTGTTTTAGCATACTTTAACATACATATGATATTACTTAGGTACCTGTTATATTGTGAAATTTAAAAAAAGAAACGTGAATCACTGCATTTACTGAGAGAGATAATTTTTTGATATTTAAAGGTTAATTAACATAGATTTGATATATTAAGTTTCCAATGGTTTGGTACATTTTGCAATCTACTCATTTGATCTCAGAGTTGTTGTTTTTTTTAATACTTATTGAATTTTTGTTTTGAAAAATCAAACTTGAATTAATTATTGGTGATTTTTATTATTTGAAGAAATCAAACAACTTAAAATGAAAACATTGAATTTATTGTCAGAAAGATAAGTAGCAGTATTCAAGGTCATAATTTTACCGTGGTAAATTGCGAGTAATTAAAGCACGTTTTACAACCCCTTCACTTTGATTTGCATTTCTCTATACAAACAAAATCCGGTTTTAATCTAGTCAATCTACAGAAAAATAGCTCAAACGGAAACTAATTGCAACAGAAAGTTTCACTGCATTTTTAAAACTTACAAGTCCTCTAAACATTACATAAAAAGTTTAGAGCATTCATATACGGGGAAAGTGGTTTTTTAAGGTGATAAAAATGCCGTTTTTTGACACTGATTTAGATACCGGAAAAGTCTTATACATGGAATATAAATGTTCTACTAACGAAACAAATGTATATCCTTTTAAAAATATATTGAAAATGCAATGCTGTATATAAACCCTTGCAGTTAAGCATGTAATTATAAACTTTCTGATGAAACTTTTAATTTTCTACACAAAAAGTACCCTTTTTCTTGCACTACATATCATTTCGATTGATGCAGTGTTTATTATACCATAAATGTTAATGGTTCATTAACATTCTTAGAGTCACAGTTAGTCTTGCAACTGCATTTAACTGTTTTGAGGAGAACAGAAGGAGCTGCAGATTTGCCTGTTTTTATGGGAAATAGTTTTCCTGATGATGTATACCACCCCCAATCGCAAGGATTAAGACTCTCAGCAGTCATCCAGTAACGGTATTGTAAATATGCACGTTGAATGTGAAAAATGGCTGCATCTGCAGTTGGTGGCAAACTCTGGACTTGAACGGATATAGATCCCGCTGCTACTTTAGTGCCAAATTTTCTGAATCTTAGAACATCTAATCCTTCAAATGGCACACCTCCATAGAGACAGCTGATAACTTCTGAGCCTGACTTCAAAACATTTTCTTTTGAGGCAAATATATCACAAATGTGTTCAAGCTCTCTTGCATATGCTTCGTACTTTTGAGTTTTTTTAGTGCAGCTGCCTTACCAATTCCAAAAAGCTTTTAAGTTGTATCGCAACCTGTAAGGGCATGGATAGCTGGAAGGAGATGACATACTTCCTCCCCAAGAAGTGGCTTTGTTTTATGGATGTCCTAAAGTTTTGCTTTTTGTCCCCTCTTCGGTTCTGTTCCCAGAAGAATGTCATTTGAAGTCAGATCTAAATAGTAACAAAGAAGGAAAGAATATCTGTATCTTCGGCAACAACCATTACTTTCTGTTCTCTTGCAAAATTTATTGCTGTTTTCACGATTGGTAAATCTGCATCGTCTTGAGCATGTACTACTTCAAAACTTGCATTTTGGAGTTTACACCCGAGGAGATCAATAAACCGTTGTTTATTCCTGGGATTTGTTAGGAAGATGTCTTTGTTTGATCGACAGGACATGTCCTCAGTAAACAAAATTTCTGTGGCCAATATGCCTTTGCTGCGTCGAAGGTGTGTGATATACTTTGTGCTAGGAATATCAGAATAACCATCAAAGACAATAACAGCACCAGGATACCTACTGGAAACAAAATTAACATATCTGGTACAAATGTCACCGAAATTCTCGCCTTTCAGCCATGGAATCCGATGAAGAAGTGCTCCACCATCAAGTACATGTTTAATACAATTGGGAATTTCTTCAGCAGTACAATTTCCAAGACCCCAGATGTAGTCTGCAAGGCTTGACTTGTGTGCTTCTCTTAGTAAACCCATTGTATCAAATAATGCGGGTGGCATACTGCACAGCTCATATGTGAGTACCTCAGATAAATCTAAATCCATGCTATTAGCAACTGTTGCAAACCGCTGAAAAAGCAGCTGAGGTCAATTAACACTATTTCCTCCTCAATTTTCAATAGGTTTTTAGAGCTTAATGTAACTACTTGCTGCGATCTCTTGAAGGAGTATGTAGAAATAGCATGGCCAATCATAGATTCAATAATGCTTTCTCCAATATCCCTTGCAGAATCTGCGTTGACCTTACTGTCCGCAGTCACTCCAGTTTCTATGATTCTAAGGAAAGATGAACCCCCAAATGGATCTCTCTCTTTAATGAATGACAACATAATTAAAACATCTTTTCTGTCCCTCTCCATTCGTGAATTACCTGCCTGCTTACGCTGTTCACTTGTTGCATACGCCATACCAGTAAATTCATTCACTGAGTTTGTAATCTCTGCACAAGCTGGCATCGACAGCAACCATTGTGATCTCTGATTCTCCGTCATACCACGTCAACCCTACTGATGACTTCACACTTCTCATCAAAACCTGTTCTATGATGAGGTCCGTAGAAAGACCGGCCCAGTGCCTATCCGATCGTCGCATCACATGGTATCCATTGACAAACTGTGTGTGCACAACTGGATGTCATGGGCAATTTCTGCATCTCAGCAAGGTATACATAAGAGGACTTGGTGTATAAATTATGGCCAGATGCAGCAAAAAAAGGCAACATATTCTTAACACTCTTGAGGTGGAGCTCCCAGTTTCCAGTTCTTTCAGCTTTCAGAAAGGTCTTGAATATTGAAACCATTTCAAGGTATTGTCCCCAGAGCTGTGCAGTTCTGCCATTTGTCATGAGTTCCTGAAAGCCATTTTTAAACTTTCTACAGTAGTGCTTTACTTCCTCATCATTGCATATACTTTCAACTGTTTTTCTGCCTGTCATAAACTGGTCATATAATTCTTTAATTTCTCTTCTGGAAGAATTGCTGAATACAAAACTTTGATTAGATAAATCTGTATCATCAGTGTCTGGTTTTTCATCAGGATATTCTTGTGCTTTTCTCGCTAACTTAGACTGTATAAATGTATAAAGTGCTGTTTCTAGAAGCATGTGTGCTCTACTTGCCCTTGACATTGCCTTTCCAGTGAGGATATGTGGAACTGCATTCTTGGCATATATCAATTCGAAAATCTCTTGAAGGCCAGATCCATACATGATATGCCCAATGCTTCCCAAAAAACTCATACACATGTGAAAGCCACCCAAGCGCAGCACCATTTTCCTTATCTCATTGTTTGACTGTTCTTTTGCGCGTATGTCATAGGCCTTCCAGTACAATGGCTGGTCAAATGTAAGAGTAGGCGTTTTCTTGTACCGAAGCTTGGTTTGTCACAAACAACATTGTTGAGTAAATGCATGATGGATCACTTGGACTTAAATCTATCATTGGAAGAAAGACCACTGATGTAGTCCCAGGGTAAGTGCCTGTTGATGTCATCTGCCAAACACCAGACCAGCCAGGTGTAGGTGTCTTCAAAGGCCATGCAATTTGCATGAAGATGTCAAGGTTGCTGGTATGATCGCTCACATTAGTATCCTCCAATCTGGTTTATCTCAATTCAGACATGGTGTTGATAGGGGCTTTATAGTATGTCAAGCCAATTTTTCGTATCGATTTTAAGTCATATATGGTCACAGGTTTCCTCTTAATAACATTTTCTACAAACACACCAGGGGTAATACCAGCAACAATTCCCATTCCATGGAATGTTTCATTGTCATCAAGAGTACAAATATTGTGGTCCACATTATCACCAATGAATTGTAAGCAGCTATTTTCCTGGCAACCTGGTAAAGACACGCCCTGAGATAAAGCAGCACAGGTTTCAAATCTTTGTACTTCTGAATAGGAGGAACAAAATCCCATATTATACAGGGTTTCTATAAGTGACCTGGACCCAAAATTGTTGTGCATTTGAATTGCAAGTCCAATCTGTAGAGGTGGGAGCAAACACCTGGGCCTTGTTGCCTGCATAATAGCCTGTCCTATGGATGAAACATTCACATCATTTTCCTTTTCAACAAACAACCCTTGCAGCAATGTTCTAAGACCTCTTGGAATATAATTCATGTTGTCTGATAATGAGGAAATTGAGTTAGCA